AAATGATATGTAGATGCATAAATTTGACAAATTCTACATTTATAAATAAAGTTAAATTCATAAATTCTGTATATGCTGGACGTATTGACAATAGCAAACTCTGCATTTACATAAATGACCATAAACTCTGTTGACATGGACATGATAAACTCTAGGATTACGAAATAGAGTTAATTAGATGCATTGCATAGACGTGATAAACTCTAGGATTGTGAATAGAATTAATTAAATACATTGGCCGCATTGCTAAACTAGAATTAGGAATATAATTAATTAGATTCATTTCATAGACTTGATTAATTATAGGATTATAAATAGAATTAATTAGATGCATTGGTAAACTATGCAGACATATACTGTGCTTTTATATGTAGGATTATGATATTTGAACTTTAATGGATAAACCAAAAAACGAGCTTATGAAAATTACAATCTATCTCAAATCCTAGATAATAAGATCAATAAATAAATAAATATATGAAAAAGTCTTACAATCACCATAAAAAGGTTGTATCAGACAACTGCTATGACAGGGTAATTTTACTCTATCACTTATTACATTAAATTCCACCATATATAATATAGTCTGAGGTTACAGGCACAGGTTTGAACTTTGAATCAGTGTTTTTTCTATTTATAACATTACAAAAGTAGCATTCCATACAGCTCACCACTAGATCAAATTCCAAATATCACACACAAGTTTCAACTTTCAACAAAAGAAAAAAAAAAAAAAATCCCCATAACTGAAGAAACCATGTACACTCGACAAACGGAAACATAATCAGAAGGCCACCAATAGGCACACGAGCGAGCGTACAGCTGTCGTGCTGTGATTGTAAACGAGCATCAGAAAGTAAACGAGCATAGTGTTTGCTTCTTTGCCCAATAAAATTAATTATACTTCCTCGCTGTCCGTTTGGTTTCCATTTTTCAGTATGTTGAACTTGCAGAGTGGACAGGTGGCATTGATGTGGAGCCACTTGTCGATGCAGGCCGAGTGGAAGTGGTGGCGGCACGGGAGCTCACGCAGTTCTGCTCCATCATCATAGGCACAAAGGCAGATGCAACATTCCTGCAAAAAGAAAAAGAAAAGAGATTGTAATATTTTGGAACACGAAATTTTCAGACATTAACTAAATCAAGTGAAAATCGAAAAAACAACTTACAGCATCCTCGAGAGGAAGCACGTGCTCTGCGGGAGAGTCTGTGTCACATTCGGTCATTATTCCTCCAAACGACTCTTGAATTTCACCATTTTCCTTCTCAAAGTCGCCAATTTTGCGAAATCTGAATTTAGGTAGTCTCTCGATATCCTCCTTTGTAGCTCCTTCCTGCAACATAGTAGCATCAATGAATTAATAAAGACCAGACTGGCAAAATTACAAACTTCTTGCACGAAATTTCAACCTTTGTTGGTTTGAAGTATAAAAACTATAAATCATTAGTGTGGAATAAGAAGTATCATTAAAAATGATTCTAAACAAAACCGAGTATTGTAGTTTTTCTAAATAGAATAAAACTACCTGATCTGCCACGGCATATAAGATTGCAATGATACATGGTAAACAGCAGCAAACGGCAAGCCCAATGAGACACGCCACAACAACGCATATAACGACAAAGAACACATCAAATGCCAAAAATGTAATGCAAAGCCTGCAGAATGATGACAGGTGTAAATCTGTAATTCATTAACAGAAACAAAAAAGTAGTGAACAATTGTAGAAGTTAGACTATACTAAAGTCCGAAATGGACAAACCAACCAGTAGAGCTGAGGCGATTCACTAGTCAAATTTGGGCCACCGGCAGATACCCAATAGAACCCTATTATCCACCAAATGAATGAGAACATCGTATTTGCAGACTCCAGATGTTTAGCAACACTGCCAATATATAAATATGATCGCTCATCGCTGTTAACTTTCTTCATATATTAAAAGACCATTTTTTAAATACAGAGATTGAGTAAAAAGATTATTAGAGACCAACTCAGAGTACCTTAACTAATTTATTTCCTCAACTGGAGCTAATAAATAATAAGCATTCAGAATAGAATACACATTCAGAACCCAAGAGTCTACATCCTATAGGAAATGTTTACATTATGCTCTAGAAATTTCTCTGTTATGTATTAATCTATTTTGGTTTCCATGTTATTATTCACATTTGGTAAGAAAGATATTTCCTTCGCTAGAAATGCAATGCACACACACTCCATTTCATCTAAACTCCTAGTTAGCTCCTTCAATTTTTATCCACATTAAAAAATAGCTAGGTATATCAACATCTACATATTTCAACTTCTATTAAGTTTCTCTCTTCTACAGCTGATAAAAAATGTTGCTTTATTTACTGAATACAAACTTAGGTGCTACCAGTTATATCCTTTCACTTCTATCCATAGAAGTAAACAAATATGCATACTTTCATACACAGACACATACTTTAAAAAAACAAAATAAGTAAAAGTGTGACACTTCTCAATATAAGTGCATTTTTTTGTCAAAAAAAGTATGACCGATTGACTCGCCTAACTGTTAGCCATTAGGATGCCTCACACAAGAATTTATGCATATAAAAAATGAGCTAGGTATACTTGTCTCTTCATACCTCAATCTCTACCAAGTTACCTTTTTCTTTTTGCTGCAAAGGATAAAAATTGTGGCTTTATTTAATAAATACGAACGGACAAACGTTCGTATGCTATCCCCGTAATCACATTTCAATCAATTAGCTGAAAACTCAGGCATCCACACAAGACATTACAAGGGATACAAAATCAAAATGAACACTATACACAGCAGAGTCACAAGAACTACAATAACCCATCAAAATACTAGAACGAAAAAATTCAAATTAAACATACCTAGCATCATCATCGCTTTGCCGGCGCTCGGTGCCATAACCCACAGTCTCCATCTCATCACTTCCGGTGCTCGAATTCGAGTTATTCCGGCTATACCTCAGCTGCCCCCTCTCACTACCTTCCAAATTCCGCAGCGAGTGCCTCTTCCTATACTCCACGCACACGCACACCATGTGGAGGACGCACTGGAGCGCGTACCCGACGATCCACAGCCTCAGCGGCATCTGCGGCGCCTCGCGGCGGCTCGCGATCAGGACGGAGATCGAGACGACCACGAAGGCGAGGTTCCAGATGAGGTCGAGGACCACTATGGGCTTGGAGTAGGCCCAATCGCTCTGCCGCTCCTCGATTTGCTCCGCCGCGGCCTCGCGAACGCGGACGGAGGGCTCGCGCATCGCGCGGCCGCGGCTGCTGGCGCGGCGGAGGAAGCGGGCGGCGCCGCGGAGGCTGGGGGGACGGCGTAAGAAGCGGCTGCGGCTGCGGAAGGATGACTGGTCGCCGAGGAAAGGGGTGCCGTCGACTGCCGGCGGCGGGGACGCGGGGTTGCTGCGGGACGACATCGTTTTGGGTTTGGGAGATAGATTTTTGTCGTTCTTCTGGCGATTTCTTTGTTTTTTTATTACAGAGTGATCGATTTGTTGGGGTTTGTTGTGTTTAGTGTATTTGGCGTCTGTTTGAATTTGATCCAACGGTGGGATTTGAGTGTTGGGATTTAGGAGAGGAATTTTGGATGGGAATAATTTGGGCTTATTTGCATTTGGATATATTGTGATTTAGTTGAGTTTTAGATGTGAAAAATAAGAGCCCATTTTCATTTACCTTTTTCTTTATTTACTTATTTACCCACCAACTTGAATTTCTTTTGATTTTTAAAGTCAAAATTAAAGATATTGAGTTGAAATTTTAAAAAGTTTGAAAAAACAAATATTCTTTTTATTTATTGCTAAAATATATTTCAACTTTTTAATACTTACTGAAATTTTAAAGAGGAAATGCATATACCAAGTCTTACATCAAGCCTTACCATTACTAAAGATATGAGCGAAATTTTAAATTTCCTAAGAAGTTTTAAACTCTGACTGAAATTCTCGAATGCAAAACTATTGTGGAAATTTGAAAGGTTTGATTAAAAAACTGAATTCTCGAATGCAAAATTATTGTTGAAAATTTGAAGATTTGATTAAAAATTTTAAAATATGATATTTAAAATAATAAACAGTTGAATAAAATACGATAAATAAAATAATTTGTTTAACATTATAATATGCAGTATTTTAAAGTAGAAAATAATTTATTCACTTATCCATTCAATTCAATTTCATTTATTCAGGCCATCTCCAGCCCTTATCTCTACTCTAACGCGGACTTTACTCTACTCTAGAGTAGAGTTAAACATTCATCTCCAGCCCTTATCTCTACATTTTACTCTACATTAAATATATTATTTTTTTATTCATTTTTTATTTCAAATAAATTGGTATATATGTATATTTAATCTTATATAAAATGTTAATTACTCAAATAATAAAAATATATTTTATTTATTTTTATTTCGAATAATTTGCTATATATATGAATATGTAATATTATATAAATGTTTATTACTCAAATAGTAAATAATTAGTGCAAATTTACACACTAGACCATATATGGTTTAGACCATATATGAATTAGTGCAAATGTACACACTAGACCATATATGGTTTAGAGCATATATTCACATTTAAAAAATAATTGTAATAAATTGAATTTCTTAAAGAAGATACATATACATCTATGTACCGATTGAATCAAAACTGTTAATTTTGAAAATATATGAATTAGTGCAAATTTACACACTAGACCATATATGGTTTAGACCATATATGTCATCTTTAATCATGTTGTGTTTATTTGTGTGTTAAGTCATTTTTAATCATGTTGTTTTTATTTATGTTCTATGATTTTATGTGTGTTGTAAACTTAATTTTAATGAAATAAACTTGTTTGAGTGTGTT